CCCCTCCGCCCAGCTCCTCCCTCTGCCTCGCCCCCCACACTCACACAACTGTTGGGCTTTGGTCAGACCACCTCTGGGCAAGGCTCATGCACCTTCCTGCCTGGCTACTGTGGGGGTGCAGGAGGGCCCGTGGGGTGTCCCTGCGCTGCGGACCTCTGCAGTGGGGGGCGGGGCTCGCGGCTGGAGGCCGAGTGCTGCTGTTCGGGACAGTGGTGCGGCCCCTCCTCTCTCCAAACCAGCTTGTCCGGCTGTCCTCGTGCCAAGAAGAGCGGTGCCAAGGCGGCCCCCACGAAGGACGACAAGGATGACCCCGAGCTGATGAAGTGAGTCACCTCGTCCTGAGGGGTGGGGGCCCTGGGCTGCTCCCTGCCCCCTGAGCTGGAGACAGCAGGGTCGTTTGTGCCGAGGTCCCAGCACTGGGCACTGCGGCTGTCGGGTGCCCGCCGGCCCGTGTGGGCTCCGGTCTGGGGCATCTGGTGGGACAGGGGGTGGAGCCAGCTGCTGCCGTGCCCTGGGCATGGCCTCCCAGTGGGTAGTGGCCTGTGGGCATCACGATCCCTGCCTTTTAGGAGGCAGGAAGGGTTGGGGGAGGGGCCTGAAGGGGTGGGGCCCCTCAGTCGAGCTCCCTGTGTGTCTATGCCCCCTGGGAGCCGTGTAGAATGAGGATGGGATGTCAGCCTGAGCCAGGGCCTGAGCACGGCTGTGGGCAGTGGGCCTTGAGCACTCCTTTGACCTTTGGGGGGTGTGGGGCATGTGCTGGGGTGGGGCTCAGCTTGCGGGTGCCCACCGGCCGAGCCTGGACCAGCAGCAGTCCTCCCTGAAGGGAGCTTGCCCGAGCCCGACTTGTCCTGACTCTCACGCCGCCTGTGGAGCAGGCTGGGGGCGTGGCAGAGGAGGGTGGGTGGCGGGGAGAGGGTTTGGCCCGCTGGGCCGCGGGAAGCAGACCAGGCCTGGCCTGCTGCCACTGGAAGGCCACACACAGGGCACTAGCCCTGCAGAGGGGAGCCGCCTGGCCAGGACTTGGAGATGCCCCCTTGGCCCTGGCCGGCGGTCTCGAGGTGCCAGGCCTGGGTCACGTCTGGCCGCCCCTGCGGAG